GAGGGAGGCTGCCCCGGCTGCAGCCTCATCAGCAACAGGGCTGGTTATGTAAGAGGTTCCAGCTGAGCCCCGCACCTCAGTGGAGAAAGGGCAGGTCACGACCGGGAGAGGACTCTCTGCATGCCCCTACTCCCCACCCTAGTCCCAGAGACAGAACTGGCCCAGACCTGGCCCCACTCCTGTCAAGGCCCACATACCTCAGCAGCGGATGGCCCTGGAGGTTACCTTGGTGCTGCCCTGCTGCTGGGAACCTAGTCACTTCCCACCTGGGGCTGGGACCTGCCCCTCACAAGCCCTACCTGTCATCTCCTCCAAGTCCCATGACCTCAGCAGGGAACACAAAGCACCGTTTGTGCCTTGAACTTTTGGTCCTGAAAGGCCAGGAGCCCAGGTGGCCATGAGAAACCCTCACCAAGTAAAGAAACTCAATCTACCCTGCAGCAAATTTAAGAAGCAGCCATGAGGACAGCCTCCACCATGGCCAGCCTGTTGGGGTTCTCCTGATGATCCTTTCCTTTAGGGCGAGGGAACAGTTGGGACCGGGTAGAGTGGTGGGCTTCAAGCTGCTGAGAGAACAGGGTGGTTGCAGTCTAGCTTCTTCCTGGCTTCCATGGCCTTATCTCTGGATGGGAAGCCAATGGCCGTGGAAGAGAAGGCTGGCATGTACTGCCCTCATCCCCTTCCCTGTGGCCCAGGAGTTTTTGGTTCTGAGGTACAGGATTATTTAGCATTCACATCTGAGTGGGCAGCTGGGTGGTGGTGGTCCATGTCTTTAATCCCAGCACTCCGGAGGCAGAGGCAGGCAGATCTCTGTAAATTCAAGGCCAGCCTGGTCTACATAACGAGTTCCAGGACAGGCTCCAAAGCTACACAGAGAAACCCTGACTTAAAAAAACCAAAAAAACAAACAACAACTAAACCAAACAAAATTACCCGAGTGGCCTCTGCTAGGAGGGACTCTTGCTCTCCCACTAACATTGAGGGTCCAGGAAGTGACCCAACAGAGCCCAGGTGAAGAAGTGGGGTGGATCCCAGAACCACCCAGAGAGCCCAAGAGTCCACCTTTCCACTCAGCCTCCCATCAGCGCTTGCCCAGGATAGACCATATATCACCCACTTAGGTCTGTCCCTGCCCTGGGCCTAAGGAGAGAGGATCCGCACCATACAGTCCCTAGGCCCTAGCCTGGCCCAACAGCAGATCTGGGAGTTCTCTCCAGAGGGGCTGAGGATGGGGACATGAAGAACTCGGGTAGAATGCCTGGGTGTACGTGGTGGTGGGGGGCAGTCCTGCAGATGGAACGAAGGCCCCCCAAAGGAGAGTAATCTTGAAGTATTTCCAAGGGTAGGACCTTCTTATAGTTTGAATCTGAAATGCCCCTATCAGGCTCATGTTTTTTAGGTTTATTCCTCCGCTGGTGGCAGGCGCTATTTGGGGATCTGTAGGCCCTCAGGAGGTGTGATTGAGCTGGTGGAAGTGGGTCACAAGAGAAGGGCCTTTGAAGGTCCCTGCTCCTGCTGTTTCTTCTCTCTGTCATTCCTGGTGCCATGCTTCAAAATAAACCTTGTTCCTGCCCAGACACTGTGGTTTTAGTGATAACAAAGTAACTATAACACAGGCCTCTTGGAAGGACACCATGGCTCTCCGGTTGACACAGGGACGGTTCTACCTACAAAGTCAGCCCTGCCTGGTGAGGTAGGAGGTGCCCCACTTCCAAGCCAGTAAAGGCCTCTCTTTGACCAAGCACTCCTGTGTGCCGCTTCCGGGAAGACCTCTTCCTGGGCCAGCCCAGGACCCCCTTGCTCTGCAGCCATCCACAGCACTGCTCGGCTGGACTGATCCTCTGGAAACCGGGGCACAGTGCTGATCCCAGGGGAACAGGATTGGAAGTGTGTGAGGAGGGACAGTACCAGGCTCTGTGCCCGGGTCGCACCAGGTATGTTTCCGGGCCGCCTCTGAAGGGGACAAGAAGTCCCTGAAGTGCCTTGTCCCAGTCTGTCCAGAGTCACAAGGAGTGGGATACCTATGGCCCTTTCAAGTCCTCTTCAGGCCCTGTCTCCTACCTGTGAATTCCTGGTCTCATCTCCCAGGGTGTGCCCACATCACCGCCTGCCCCCTGTACTACCTTCTCAGGAAAAGCCTGACCATACCTCCAGGAAGCCTTCCACGAACCTTAGTGGGGTTTTGAATGTACTGGGGGTCCGTCCTCCCTGCTCTCACCATCCAATTTTGAGGACCATAGTGTTCATTTTCATTAGTGTCCTAGCACACGAATGCCCAGCGTTCCAGAACTCAGCCAGCACCGTGGAGGAGTCCCCGAGTCCCCCAGCTTTAGCCTCAACATGCTACTAGGTGCCAGCCCTGTCACTGAGGTCTTTTCTTCTAAGTTCTATTTTAAGAATAATTTATTTAACTTTATTCTATGTGCGTTGGTGTGAAGGTATCAGATTCCCTGGAACTGGAGTTACAGATGGCTGTAAGCTGCTGGGAATTGAACCTGAGTCCTCTGGAAAAGCAGCCAGTGCTCTTAACCACTGAGCCAGCTCTCCAGCCCCCTTCTTCTAAGTTCTTATCAGATTGAGGGAATCCTACTTCCCATGAACTGAGGGCAACTGAGTGTAGAGCTTAGGATCACCCAGCATCCCCTCCTTCTGAACATGCTGTCTCCTTGGATGGCTCAGAGCCAGGAGTAGATGAATGAACAGGACACAGAGGCCTTCCTGGGTCTGACAAAGACACGGTCTCCCAGGTCAGTGTGCCTCAGTTTCCCCATCTGTGCAAAAGGAGTGGAGGTATTCTTACCTCGCAGGAGATCTTGGGAAGTTTGTTAAATGTGGGCCTACCAGATCATGGGAACTTGTTTGCCGTAAGTAAGAGCCTCTGTTGGGTTGAGGTGGGGCCTTGGACCCGCTGCCTCTCCACAGCCTGGCTCTGACCCAGACTTTCCTCTCATCCTTACCTAGTGTCATAGAAACTGGGCTGCAGGAGGACTCTGAGCTATGGAGGGATTCAAGTGGACTGGCCTGGAAGCCCCTTCCCCACCTGGTCTCTAGCCACCCCCTTCTCCAGGCCACCCCGAGTCACCAGTGAGCCCCTGAATCAAAACATGAAGTGTAGATGGGCCTGCTGGCCTGGGGGTCAGGGGGTGAGGCCTAGCTCTGAGCCCGGGGGAGGGGAAAGGCCGGAGGGAGAGCCCCAGCCTCTCTGCAGGCAGTCAGAACCCTGGGTGGGAGGCCAGCTTCCTGACTTCCCCAGAGATAGCTTATCCTCAAGGCCTGGTCGGACCTGAGCTGGCTGAGTGACTTGGCTGAGTGACAGCGTGGTGGAGGGACTCCCTGAGTCCCCAGCTTTAGCGTGGGACTCACCAGAGCCACATGACTCCCACCTGCTGCCTGAGCATAGCCGCTCTGTGTTGGAAGCATGGGGAGAGGGAACTCTAGACCCCACCTTCTCAGGCCTTCCCAGAAAGGCCCCTCAAAGGACTGTAATAAAGAAAGCCATTGCCCTAGGCCTCCGAGAAGCTGCTGAGTAGAATATTTTGGGCTCTGTTAACCTTGGTGTAGTACCTTGTGATGTGACAAACTAGAGCCCGTGTGGAGGTTACAGTCCAGCTCAGGGACTCCATGTAAAGGGCCGTGCCCATTAACGGAGCTGTGCAGGCAGCTTGCCGGGCTGTCTCTGAATTTCCATCCAAGGCCACCACCTGCTCTTCTCCTGGCTGGTTTCTGTAGCTGTTGGGTTCTCCTCTGTTGATTTTGGACATGGCTGCATCTCCCTGCCCACACTTCTAGGGTTGCTACACTTTCCCAGCTCCGTAGGGTGGGGAAGCAGGATCAAAGAGAAGCAGGCAGGAGGGTTGGGATAAGATCAGCATCTGGATTTGAGTCTCTTGTGCATGTCAGCCAGGTCCCAAAAGGTCCCCAGGATGCATAGGCCAACTGCTGCTCAGAAAATTGGATCTGGGCAGGCAGCTGCTGGCCGCCAAAGAATCTGTTGCGGTCACCTCTACCGGCTCTACTCTTGCAAGGGGCTGCCCAGGGAGCAGTTGAGCCGCCAGAGGGCCTGGCCTGGTCTCAGCAGCTACTTGCCCATACACTCTAACTATCAGTGTTGGGGTAATGGAGAGGATGGTGCTACAGACCGCCAAGGCCTGCTCTGGCTTCCAGAAGCAGCCGGCAGACGTCAGTCAGAGATTGAAGATCAGAGGGAGGATGGGCTAAACAAGGCAAGTCTAGGAAGGCTACAGTATCGTCAGTGGTGTTCGTGGAGGAGCTTGCTGTGTCCCTGTAGGGCCAGGCAGAGTGGAGAATGCTGTTAGAGCCAGGCTGGGTCTCCTGGGCCAGGCTGGCTGGCAGGGCCTCCTGCATCTCCTGGCTCCCATCTGTGGGTTCACAACAGCCGTAGGACCTGGATTTTTTTTTTTTTCCCTTTGAGACAGGATCTCACTGTATATCCTCAGCTGATCTGAAACTTTCTCTGTAGATCAGACTGGCCTTGAAGTCACAGATATCTACCTCCAGAGTACTAGAACTAAAGGAGTACCTGGATCTTAACCGAAGTGGAGCCCTGAGGCAGGGTCCTGCCTTTCACTCTGGGATCTAAGATGACCCAGGAAACTGGTCCACAGCCTCTGAACAAGGCCATAGTGGTACCTAGAAATGAGCGTTTGATTACATCTCTGAGGCATTGTGCTTGGTTCACAGCCCCATCTGGAATCTGGGCTTCAGCACCCCAGGAGGACCCTAGGATCACACCATGTCCTTGCTCCCCAGGCTGGAGTCAGGTGCTGTGTAAGTACAAGCCTGTCTGTCCCTCTGAGACCAAAAAGGGGAGACAGGTCAATGAAGAAGACCAAACAGGGACATCACAGCCCCCAAATCAGAGACTCCAGCTTTTCCACACCGTGGTACACAGAGGTAGTAGCGCTGAGAGCCCAGCCAGCCTGGCTCACATTTCTCCTGTCAGCAATCATGGACAGCCGGCCCATTCCTTTGTGACAGGTGTTTATTTGTGCTGGGAGCAGATGAGAGAGAATGCCTGTGAGGAGATGCACAAGTCCAGCTGGGACGCGGCTGGGATGCGGTGAGGGCTGAGTCTGCCATGGCCAGCCAGTCCTGGCGGTGGTCTTCTGGCCTAAGGGAGAGAGGGAAGAAAGAGAAGCAGGGAAATGGGAGAGAAACTGGAGCCAGTGGGACCTGGGCAGCGACAGATCCCAGAAAGGCGGGTCTAAGAGGAGCTAGTAGGGTTCAGGGAGAGAAGCTGGAGGCACAGGAAGGGCAAGAGGGCAAAGGGTGGGGTCTCAACACCTGCCTCCCCCTCTTCCATGGCCTCTACATCTCTACCAGCCATGCTCACGGTTTCCTCAGGACCCTGGGTCATATTCCTCTATGGGAACAATGTTGGTTAGGGAGCCCGGGGTCTTAAGGACTCATTTGCATGACCTCTGACCTCCAAATCCCCTTTCCTACTCAGCCTGGGCTTGGTTTAGTACCTTCAGATGGAGGAAGAAGGGCAACCTAGACCAGGGAACCCGGAAATTTCACAGGAGGCATATTTCAGGCAACAGCATCTGGCATGGGCCCCCCATATTTTCATGCACCCTGATTCTGGCACAGCTGTGAAGCCAAGACTTTGACTTCACGTTTACTATAATGTCCCTTCTGGAGCCAATTCCATGTCTCCTTCTCAATTCTCCAACACACACCGTGTAGCCTACTGAGTAGTTGCCAGTGTCAGGCTTGGAGGCGGGTTTGTCTAGTATACCCCCCTCGCACATCCCCCAAGACTCCCCTTAGGCTCCACCTGCCAGGTGTTGTACCTGTGAAGGCCTGGACCATCCATCCCTGAGCTTTCTCTGGCTTCATAATGAGACAAGCATTTTCTCCAACAGCACTGTGGACCTCCCCCACCCTCGCCCCCAGGATCCTCTACTCTCAAGGTCACCTCCCAGTGTACCCAGTGCCCATCCCATTATTCTAGGCTTGGTTTCAGGCTTAGCCTAGAAGAGGCTAGATAGAAATGGGCCAAGCAGTGATTAAATGAATACAGTTTGTGTGTTGTTATTTCGGGCATAAGCTAGCCAGGCAGCCGGGGTGCTGGGGACGCAGCCCCGCCGCTCTTGTTACTACAAAGCTGGCATGGTCCTGGAGGATTCCCACTGTCCCTGCAGGCTTAATGCCCCCCCTCCCCGATCAGAATCCAGCTCCTTCCTCCTCCCTGTGTCAGGATGAAAGACGAGCATTGGGGGGGACCCTCTGTTTCCAATCAACTCCCTAGGGGCCTTGAGAAGGACCCTTCTTCCCACTAAGGGGATGATGCCTCACCTAGTAGGACTCCTCTGCTGAACCATCTTCTACCCAGGTCCTTAACCAGCAGCATGGCCTGGAATCTCCCCCTGGGCCCGTGGTCCTTACATGGAGGACCATGGCAACACTCTTGGGGCCCTCTACCAGGTCCACCTTATAATTTTCTGACCCTAATTTTGGGGTGGGGACTCTGCTGGTGGCAGGGAACGGGTGCTGACAGTCCCTCTCGGTATGACACCAGAACAGTTGGTTGACTCAGGGTTGCTTGGGGCTTTGCCTGGGGCCTTGCCTGGGGCTCTGCATAGGAAGTACTCACCGACCCAGATTCTGACAAGGCCCTGGCCTGGCTGACCTTCAGAGACAGTGGTTCATAGGGTGGGATCCTGGGGAGAATGGAAAAAGAGAGAGGAGGGGTCCTTTGGTGGAGCTGGACTTTGAGGGGGGTGTAGGATGTGTTTGGAAGGAGGGGGCTTTGAGGTTTTTCTAGAAGGGTCCTGCTCTGTACACTTTCCAAGACAGGTCATCCCTCATGGCAGCCTGGACTTCCCAGAGCTCCCATTGGTACCTCAGTTGAAGTCACTGTGCCATCTGATCCTGCCCTCTGCCCTATCTTAGGCTAGGGCACCTTCCTGGATTCAAGCCTTCACTGTCCCCTAGACCTCCTCGGTCCCCTGCTGACTCTGTCTCTAAACCACAGGTCACAGGACAAAGCAGGTGCATGTATTTGGAGTTCACTGAAGGCAGACCAGTCCCCATCACTGTGGGGGTCTTCCCCACTCGCCTGTCTATGATGTCACCACCAGCTACAACACTTCCCTCACGTGGCAGGGATCTTAGTCTCACTCAGGTGAGACTAAGGACAAAGTGTCTGTCCCTGAGCTCAGAGGTTGTCACCCATATCTGGAATGGGGCCCCATCTTCCCTCCTGAAGGTGACCCACCAAGCAGAGGTAGACCACTCTCCCTGGAACTGTGGGACTAGTGACAGACAGGGCCAGCCCTCTCCCATCAGATGTGGTCCCAAGCTATGTCTGCACCGGCGATGCTGGATCTAGCAGAGACCGCTTGACTCTCAAAGCCTCGGCCACCCCACATGCACAAAGAGAGCTGTCCCCACCTGGAGGGTCCCAAGGGCCACGGGAGAATGTGGAGTCTGTGTAGGGTTGGCATTGGGCTCAGCTCCCCGTTCCTCGCTCCTGCCCATGCGAACTGGGCCTGCCCGGCCTGGGTTCCCAGTCACCCTGTCCTTCCCCAGGCTGGGCAGGAGACAGATCTTGTGGAAAAGCAAGAGGGGGCCTGGGACTTGAGGGAGCACCCCATGCCTTCCTGGGCCTTGGGCCTGGGTCTGCATCATCCCCAGCAAGATGAGACCTATCCACAGGATCTCCATGTGGAGGCTGATCCTAGGCAGTGGAGATCTGGGTAGCAGTGGCCTGGCCGGTTCAGGAGGGGTTGGGTTTAGGCTATCACTGAGCGCGCACTGGTCCTGTCTCAAAGCAGCGAGCTCATCTCTACATCCAAGAGGGGAAAGAATATGCCCCTTTGGCTTCCTCAGGGTTCGAGCCTCCTCGCTCCAAGGCAGCGCTCTAGCCCACAAACACCTCCCCAGCACTTCCTGCCCCATTGCCCACTTCCTACGCTCTCAGTGCCCCACGCCGCACATGACAACTAGTGCAGAGCTCAAATCCAGGCAAGATGACAGCAGATACCTGTCGGGATCCACTGTGTGCCCGGCATAAGTGGCCGCCCCAGAATCCACCCACACTTGTCTTGCTCTGTTGGGCACAAGCTCTGAATCGACTCCCACCCCCTGCCTGGGAGCAGATTGAGCTGTTCTTTGGGCTAGGCAAAGAGGGACAGAGTGTGCTGTGCCAGAGCTGGCCCAGGGCCACCTACTCAGGCCACAGGGCCGCTCTGGGCCATGGCCATTCACGGGGCTGCTGCCTCCTCTGCAGCTTTTCGCCCACTCCTGACCTCATCCTTGGGTGGAGCCCTCCGCTGGCCCTGATACCACCAGCCTCCGGCTGTGGTGGCACCTGAGGACCACAGTAGCCTCCTCTTGACTACTTCACCATTTTCTGGGAGAAAGGTGGTTGCTAGAAATCCAACATCACCCTGGAGATGGCAGTACCACGGGAGGCCTTGCTGACCAGCTTAGATGCTTCCTAGGGACCATGCAAATTTGGTGGCACAGATCCTGGAGGCCCAAAGTCCTTTCTAGTGATGCTCACAGTAGAGACAGGACACACACTGGGGGACCTAGGTGCTGCTCTCCTCATCAGGACCTAGGCCACTTCTGTTCCTTTTCCTGTCTCTACCATGATTGACTTTCTGGAGTACAGGCCTCTTCCTTGCCTCTGGATGCCCCAGTCCCCTCACTTCCCAGAACCTTTTCTCAAGGGACTTGGGATCGTTTCAGGAAGCCTGGGTCACAGGCTCGAGCTGGAGGCTTCTGCTCTGTCCCCCCCGGTAGGGGTCTGGTACCCAGCAAGCAACGTAGCTGGATGGGGCATGAGAGGGCTGGCTCTCCTTCCTTCCAATATATTCCACAAATCTCTTTCTTATGTGGCTCAGGTTCAGCATAGACCTCCATATGTAATCCAGGAAGCTACACTGGAAACCCAGGGAAAGAGGTGGCCACGCACAGGGTAACCTGGAAAAAAGGTCCCTCAGGTGTCCCTTGTTTCAAGGCCAGAATGGGCCCTGGAAGTTGGCTTCAGGGAGGTGTCTGCCTCCCTGCTGTCACAGGCATCGAGAGGAACCTTGGCAACTCAACCCTGGGCACATCATGAAAGGGCAAAACAAGGCCCAACGCAGATCGACAACATGAACTATACAAAGTTCTGTAGCCAGTCAAACGAAAAGGAATACGAAGCGAGAAGACTCTGCTGTGGGATGCTCAGAGACCAGGAAGCCCTGAGACTTGGTGAAGCGAAAATGGACACCCAATAACCCATGTGCTGGCTGGAGACGGTCTTTAAAGGGGAATGATCAAGTTGGGAGTCCTGATACAGACTTGTAATCCCAGCCCTCAGAAGGCTGAGGCAGGAGGATCTTAAGCCCAAGGCCAGCGTAGGCTACACAGTGTATACACACACACACACACACACACACACACACACACACACACACTTAAGAATAAATATATCAGGGCTGGGAAGATAGTTGAGGCAGTAAAGGTTCCGGCTTGGGAATAGTGGTATTTGCTTCCGGTTCTAGTGCCAGGAAGGTGGAGACGGGTACTTCAGCCTTCTTATCAAGTTCCAGGACAGAAACAACAACGACAAACCCACAGACACAACCACGGGTGGATAGCTCCTGAGGCTGCCCTTGGACCGCGTGTGTGTCTGCGCACACAATGCAGACACTGGATACAAACGCGTAGACATATTCTGATTTTAAACAGTTTTAGGTTCGCGCCTGTTAAATAGCGCGCAGTGCCAGGGCAGCGCTGGCTCAATTAGGGAGGATGCGCCAAGCAACGCCGACTATCAAGATGCTGAGTCACGTAAAGTTCGTGTCTTCATCAAAATTCTACCTCACTTGGTGGAGTGCTTGGCTGGCATGTGGCCCTGGAGTCCATCCAAAACAAAAACCAAAAGCAAAATTTCCTAGCCCGTTTAAATGTCTGATCCAGGCCCCGCAGTATGTTTGGCTTCTTGATCCTTGGGCTCCTCTGAGCTGGGGCAACTCTTCCAATTATTTCTTCTTTCTCACCTCGATGGTACTGGGCAGTGCTGGTAAGGGGTTTTGCAGAAGTCCCTCTACTGGGGATTGTTGATGCTTTCCTCGTGGCTGGGTGGTGCTTTAGTAGGTAGGCCTTCGAGCTTGTTGTCCAGGACTGTCCTCCGGGCCTACTGGCAGCTCTTCGGCTCACAGAAGATTGTCAAAGCTGGCCTTGTTGATAGTTGGCTTTTCATCAGTGAAGAGGGGATGGAGAGGGTCATCAGACCCTTACTTAAGTGTCAAGCCACTCCTCCTAACCAGCTGTATACAATTCTTCCCTCACTGTCCATGGTTCCCAGGTCTCTGAGCAGGGCAAGACTGGGGGAAGGGAAACACATCTGAGCAGCTAGGAGAAACTATTTCTTATGCTGGGTGCAGACTTTCCAGTTTGGCTTCTTTGGATTCACACTCCTGTCAGTAACCCTCACTCCGGCTCCGCCAGAAAGCCCAATAAACTCATTGGTTTCCCGGGGGTGGGGTGGGGTGAGGGAACCAGGAATGATGGGACCTTAGGGGGCAGCTGCTTCTTAGTCTCCCCCTACTCCGATTCCTGGTGAGAATTCTTTCAGCAACAGGTGAAGTGGCTTCTCAGAACAATTACAGCAGTGTCGCACCTAGTCAAGGAACGCACGCTGGGTCCTCCCATGTAAGGTCACTCTCGTTTCTCATTGTCCTCTGGAAGGCCTTCGGTGCGGGCAGCCTGCGTTTCAAATGAGGTTGGCACAGCCTTACTGGATGCCAGCATCTTCACAGTGTTGCTTTTTCCACATGCTAACTTATCTATATCAGGGTGGACTCAAGGTCAGTATTTGTTCTTTGGGCTGTAACTTTGCCCGTCCTTATTCATTGTGTTGCTTAAATTGTTTCAATATTGGCCAGAGGGAATGCCTTAATGACCACCATTGGGGAAGAAAGCAGAAAGACAAGGCGTGCAAGTGGCCGAAAGCACAGGGAGATTCAGACTGCCTCTGCTCTGGCAGTGTCACAGTCCCTGTGACCTGACTCCATCTTCGTGGGATTGGGCTTTGTAGGATTCTTTAAATTTTTGATAAGTTATAATACATGTGTGCATCCAGGAAACCATCACCACAATAGTGAGAGAGTGAGCTTAGTGGTTTGAATGAAAATGACCCCCGTAGATTCACAAGGAGTGCCAATATTGGAGGTGTGGCCTGTTGAAGCAGATGTGGCCTTGTTGGAGGAGGTGTGTCACAGGGGGTGGACTTTGAGGTTTCAGAAGCTCAAGCCAGACCCAGTGTCACACTCTCTCTCCTCCTGCTGCCTGCTGATCTGGATGTAGAACTCTCAGCTACTTCTCCAGCACCATGTCTACCTGTGTGTCACCATGATAACAATGGACCAAACCTCTGAACCTGTAAGTCAGCCCCAATTAAATGTTTTCATTTACAAGAGCTACTGTGGTCATGGTATCTGTTCACAGCAACAACTAAGACAGTGAGTGTGATTACCATTTCATGAAGATTCCTTATCAGGAGGCAGAGTCAGGCGGATCTCTGTGAGTTCGAGGCCAGCCTTGTCTACAGAGTGGGTTACAGGACAGGCTCCAAAGCTACAGAGAAACCCTGTCTCGAAACAAACAAACAAACAAACAAACAAATTCTTGAGCTGGGACGGTTGAGATGACTCAGTGGTTAATAGAATTTGTGGCTCTTCCAGGGGACCTGAATTTGATCCCCCGCACCGTATCAGGCGGCACATGACTGCCTGTAGCTGTAGATCCAGGAGATCTAACAGGGCCTCTGCGGACACTTAAATAAAAGATAAAAAATAAATAGTATTTTAAAAGATTCCTTGGGGTTGGAGAGATGACTAAGCAGTGACGAGCACGGGTTGCTCATCTGGAGGACCTCTGTCTAATCACCAGCACCCACAGAGCAGCTCATGATTCACTACAACTCCAGTTTCGGAATCCAATCCCTTTTCTGGCCTCTGAAGACACCAGGCAAGCAAGTAGTGCACAGATATACATGCAAGCCAAACATCTATATGCATAACAATTTTTTTAAGTTATTATTTATTTATTTATTTATTATGTACACAATAATTCTGTCTGTGTGTATGTCTGCAGGCCAGAAGAGGGCACCAGACCTCATTACAGATAGTTGTGAGCCACCATGTGGTTGCCGAGAATTGAACTCAGGACCTTTGGAAGAGCAGGCAATGCTCTTAACCTCTGAGCCATCTCTCCAGCTCCCTGCATAACAATTTTTTAAAGATTCCTTAGGCTGTCTTGCGGATTCCTCCCTCCCACTTCCTTCCGCTGCCCCCCCCACCACAAAAGTGTTTGGTCCCTACAGACACGCTGGCGCTCTCCATGAGAGAAACCACACTACATGTTCCGATTAGCTTGCTGCTTACACTCAGCTCCGTGAACTAAAGTGCCAGCAGTTCATGGCATCTGGCCCCAGGGTGTTACCTTGTGCCGCCTTCCGCAGCCAATCGCCCCTCATCAACCAACTGTCATGGGTATTAGTTGCGGTTTGGGGCCATCCATACCAAGCTGTCAGGAACGTCGAAGCCCACGTCTTTGAAGGGCCACATGTTTACTTCAGTCTTTGGAAAACCCAGTGGAGAAACGGAGAGGCACAAGTGGGTTCCTGGTCCACCGGAGACCACAAGAGACTCAGATCATTT